GTAAGTGGCTACATGAGAAATTAAAAAATTTCCCATTAACTAAAATAAATTGGAAATAAATCATAAAATTATCTACGTGGACCGCAATTATTTCTTTCATTAATAATATTAACAGCATGTAAACTTTGCTTCTGGTTCTACCTAATATGTAGCAAATACACTTTTCTATTTACATGGAATTCAGATGTATAAATTTTAAGAGCAAATATTAACAAATGCTGAAATTGTTGGGAAAGTAAAGAGTATGAAAGCCTCCAGATGCCTGGGAGCAAATCAGAGGTAACGCTAAACTGGTTTTCAATCCTTTAATAAATGTGGGAGACGATGGAACGTTAAGAGTTTTTAGGCTCAGTTAGCCTCCTCCTCGATTTTTAAAGCAAAAATCTGTTACATGTATTTCTAGAACAAGCATTCCATTATATGTGTTGACAGGAGACAGAGAGCTATTGGAAACATTAAAAGAAAAAACAAGGCACCAATACCACCTCCTATTACTTCTAGGGTCATTTCCTTCCCTGTAAAATTGCATACATTGTAACATAAACACACAGGGTGTTCCCATTATCTAAAATGCATGCGGAATAATAATAAAGCCGCCAGTACATACAATTTTCTCTTTGGCAACAAAAATAGCTGTTCATGCTGCCAAAGCTGCTATCAATTGTAAACTGTCCCCTTTCTCTTTTTCAAGCATTCTGGTCTAGATAAATAGGCACTACTGCCTTACCCACTGACACTGTTAGCAAGTTGAAATACATTACTAAGCGGCTGAGTGGAAAATGCTATCAATCTGGAAGACTTTCATAACCAGAGCTACAGTCAGCAGCACAGACTGCCAAAAGCAGACATAATAAAATATATATAGCTGAGTTTGTCACATACGGTTAAACAATCTTTTTCTTTTTAAAAACACAGCATAAATTAGTCAAAGAACCTATTTTTGGTATGAATATTTACATTCTAATTCGTTTCTTTCAAGGAGGTTGTTGTTGCTAAGTGCTATGAAGTTGTTTCTGACTCACAAAGACCCTGTATAGGGTTTCCAAGGAACGGCTGGTGAGTTTGGAATGCTGACCTTGTGGTTCAAACTGACCTGGCGGATCCACTGCATTATCCTGCAACACAACACCAGGACACAATATTTATTGAGCACTTGGTGGGTGACAGGTCTTCTGATGAACATTTGTTGTTGTTAAGTGCCATCAAGTTGGTTCCAACTAATAATGACTCTATATAGGGTTTTCAAGGAGCAGCTGGTGAGTCTGAACCACTGACCTTATGGTTAGCAGTCCACTGCTTTTCCTACAGCACCACACACCATATTCTCACTTAATCTCTCCTATCACCAACCGCGGACCTTGCAGTTCATTATCCTGCAGCGCCACAATGATCTGCACCTTATTATGAAGAGTAAAGAGAACAATAATGGAACTTGCCCATCACCACACAGCTTAGCAAGTATATGATGGGGCTTCAAAATGTCTATAGAAAAAAGATCCATTATCTTTTCATTCCATTTTTCCAAGACTTTTTGAAGCTGTTAATCTCAGGGTCAGTATTTCAAAACTACTAGCTGTTCCACAAGAGAAAGATGAGGCTTTCTGCTCCCATAAAGTTTTACAGCCTCAGAAACCCTGTACAGGGTTGCTATGAGTTGGAACCAACTCCATGGTATACAACAACAAGAAGGATGCTTTATTAGAGTCCCAGTGTGGCAGTGTGGGTTAATGAGCTGGACTGCAGTCGTTTGAACTGCAAGGTTGGTGGTTCTAGCTCACCAGCTGCTTCAGGGTTTACGACTCTATGGGTCGGAACCCACTCGATGGCACTTAACAAGAAGTATACTTTATTAGTTTTAGGCAGCAGTGTGACTACAGAGCCATAAAGTCTTAGTTTTTACACCATAAAACAAACCCGTTACCACTGGGTTGATTCACAGTAGAGATGTCCCAGAGAGTCTCCAAGGCTATAATCTTTATAGAAGCTGACTGCCACACATTTCTCCCACAGAGTGGCTGGGGGGATTGGAACTGCCAAGCTTTTGCTTAGTAGTCCAGTGCTTTAACCATTGTGCCACCAACCACTGTAGCTGTTATGTGCCATTGAGTCGATTCCAACTCATAGTGCATCTGCACAGGGTTTCCGAGGAGTGGCTGGTTTGTGGTTCAGGCCGATCTTGCGGTCCAATGCTTACCCTGGTATCACACCACCAACCATACTATCTATTCAGTGTTCTAGAAGGAAAAAATAAACATGTTGGCTGGCTCCACCAGTGACTGTATCATGTAACTCTAAACAGTCATACTTTTAAAAGCATTTTACTTTATTTACTATTCACCAAAACTTAACTTTGCATTATAAAAATAGAACATACATTATAGAAATGTTAAAAATATAGAAAAACAGAAAAGGTGAGGTGAGATGACTTAGTTCCACCCCCAAAGACAAATAATGTTCTCATGACACTTTATTCTCGAATTTTCTTTATGTTTTTCTGAAAGTCCTATGTGATGTAAGCATTGTGCATACACAATTTTTAAAGCACTTTTCCAAAATGCTTTAACTTTTATTAGCATAATATATAGTTAAAAACATCATTTTTCTAGAGGCAACTTTTAATAGCTACATGACACTCCACATTTTATTATTTCGGTAGCCACGTGTATCACTACACATTTTGACTGATGGGCTGTACTAACCTCTACTCCTAGTAATTCCATTAGAGTAGTCACCCACACTGTTAGCTATTTATAAAGCAGTGACTTCGCAGAGAAGAGTACTGAAAACTACTGCTCGTATTAAAATTTAGGAGGTGCCTGGTGGCACAATGGTTAAGCACTCCATTGCTAATTGCAATGTCAATGGCTTGAACTCACTTAGCAGCTTCATGGGAGAAACGCCTTGGTGATCTGTTCTCACCAGGATGACAGTCTAGAACACCTTATGAGGCAATGCTCTCTGTCCTAGAGGATCACTATGAGTTGGAATGGACTTGGTATCATCCAACATTTAAATTTTGATCTAAAAGAAAATCACTTTGGACTAGCTAGGATCACAAACATATTTTCCATTAAAAAAAAATATATATATATATTCTATGTAAAGATGAAATGGTCATCTCAACTAAGTGAAATATTATACATACATGTTTTTTTATATTATATATTTTAAATAATTAGAAAAAAGATACAAAGTATGAATAATTTTTTAACCAGGCAACTGACTGTGGCTAATCAAGTCTACAGACAACTTAAAACCAGTTTTGCCTGCAGACAAATGCTGAACGATGCTCACTTTACACACCTCAGTCCTAGAAACCCTGAAGTCCTGGGGTTCTATGAAGACGAAGACAGGTTTTTTTTGTTTGTTTGTTTTCATGTGATGTTAGCAAAACATCCTTTTTTATTGTTTAAGTGCCATAAATTCTGTTCTGACTCATAGGGATCCTAATTTTACCAACTACAAAATTAGAAATTTCTAGCTGTAGCATTCATACAGGAGTCCTAGTGTGGCTCTGTAGGACAATGCACTTGACCACAAGATTGGTTTGAACGGCAAGGTCAGCGATTCAAACTCAGCAGCCGCTCCTTGGAAACCCTATACAGGGTCACTATAAGTGGGACATGACTCAAAGGCACTTAACAACAAGCATTAATCTACTGCCTCCTTTGTCTTCAGTTTCTACTTCAGCTTTCTCTCATCCCTTGGGCCAGAATGCTTCTTGTTTTCCATTAGTAAACCAGAGTCAGTGAGTTTCATTGTCACAGTTGAAATAGTTTCATACTGTTTAATATTAACTGGTTATTATTAAACCTTAATACTGTTGCTGTTGTTCAGCAACTAAGTGACACAGAATTGGTTCTGACCCACAGAGACCCTGTATATGGTTTCCAAGGAGCGGCAGGTAGTTTGAACCACCAACCTAGAAAAGTTTATACACATTGAATTAAAAATGTACTAAATATACCTACTCCTTATTGAAGTCCTGGTGCAGTGATGCAGGCTAATGCGTTGGACTGCAAGGTGGGTTTGAGCCTCAAGGTCAGTGGTTCAAGCTCACCAGCAGCACCTTAGACACCCTACACAAGGTCGCTATGAGTTGGAACCAACTAGCCAGCACTCAACAACTCCTTACTTACTATCTCATTATCCAACATTTCATACTTAACAATAACTGTAAAACTCTACTATCCATTTTCGATTGGCATCATGGCTGCCCTCAGACCCCTGGTGAAGCCCAAGATTGTCAAAAAGAGGACCAAGAAGTTCATCCGGCACCAATCAGATCGTTATGTCAAAATTAAGCGTAACTAGCACAAGCCCAGAGGCATTGACAACAGAGTGCGGAGAAGATTTAACAGCCAGATCTTAATGCCCAACATTGGTTATGGGAGCAACAAGAAGACAAAACACATGCTGCCCAGCGGCTTCCGCAAGTTCCTGGTCCATAATGTCAAAGAGCTGGAGGTGCTGCTGATGTGCAACAAATTTACTGTGCAGAGATTGCTCACAACGTCTCTCCTCCAAGAACCATAAAGCTATCGTGGAAAGAGCAGCCCAGCTGGCCATCAGAGTCACCAATCCCAACGCCAGGCTGCGCAGCGAAGAAAATGAATAGACAGCCTGTTTTCAAGTTTTATTTGTGCTAAATAAAACCATAAAAGCGCTGCCATCTGGAAAAAAAAAAAAAATCTACTATCCAACTATTTTGAGTATTAATGACGGACGCACATCTGGTAGTAATGAACACCAAGGTGCAAGGTGAGCATAACACTGGTCGTGTTAGTTAAAGTTACATGTAAACTTGGCTGGACCATGACTCTTAGTGATATGGAAGTTATGCAGCAATGTAGTTATTGTCCACTTTGTGAAGACGTGGTGGTCATCCTGCACTTTTCACAGAATGACCTGAGTTTTAGAACCTCATCATGTCAGTAAGTGAGGGCTGAGTGTAGTAGGTAGAATGATGCTATAAATAAGGAGACTTCATAAGAACTTACCACAATTTTGGCCAAGATGCCGTCATCACCAGCATCTAAGGTAACCACAGCTTTGTCGGTCTCAATCTCACACAGTGCGTCTCCAGCACTCACAGCTTCACCTACAAAACAAGACTGGGTGGGTTTGGGTCTTAAAAAACATGAATTTCAATATATGGTATATGTGTGCATATATATAAAACAAAAACAAATAGTAAAATGTTCAGTAGGTATTTCTAGGGTATGGAATTACAAATGTGTGTGTCTATATGTGTGTATGCTTGTATTTTCCAGCTCTATAATGTGTATAAACTATATCCACTATGAGGAAAAAGTGTTAGTACAAAGATTACTGAGCAAATATTAAAAATAAAATCACATTTTAGAGACGACAGAAATGAATGCATATCCTCCTCACAACAAATCAATTTCAGACCCCACATTATTTACATACTTTGATGATTATTTCAGGTAGAGAAAAACTTAAAAAGTAACAGTATTCTGGGATAGCGTGGTCGGATGAATTCAGAAACCCTGTCAGCACTAAAGGAATAAAGCACAAAAGAGAAAATGCAAAAGACATGTTATTAAGTGCTATCAAGTCATTGTGACCCTTTATAGGGTTTCTGGGGCTATAAATCTAAACAGGAGCAGAAAGCCTCATCTTTCTCCTACAGAGCAGATGGTGTGCTTGACCCACTGACTTTGTGGCTCCAAGTCCACTGTCTATCCTACATAGCTACTGTGCTCCCAAAAAAGATATTTGTTGTTGTTGTTAAGTGCCATCGAGTCGGTTCCAACCAATAACGACTCTGTACAGGGCTTACGAGGAGCAGCTAGTGAGCTTGTAGTTGAGGTCAAATAAATATTTTGACACAACAGAAACAGTGGAAACTTGAAAATGTTGAGCAGGACTTGAAGCTACAGATTTGTTGGTCTCTGGGTCTGCAAGCAAATTAGGGGAGGGTTCATAAAGTTGGGTCAGGGTCCCTGTATTTACAATAAGAGGATAGTAAAATGGGCATTTCAAACCTGTTAAAAGGGGCTATGGATTCAACCCAAAATTGCAGGTCTACTAGGTGGGAGAAAAAAACACTGCCTTATACCAGGAACGGAGCCAAGCCACCTTTTGGTTCCATGACCCAATCTGCCCACATCCCTAGCAAAGTCACTAGACTGGGGAGTGGAAGACTGGGAGAGTAGTTGCTGGGGTAAAAGGGAAGACAATGAAACAAAATAAAAAACATTCCATTCAAAAACCTTTTACAAAATAAAATTCCAAAACAAATAAAGAAATCTAATGATAGGAAAGAAAGCCACAAAAACAGTAATTGGAACAGAAATACATTCCAAAGGTAAAAATTCATTTAATGCCATTTGCCGAAGAATTGAAGTATCTTGAGGATGTGTAAAGTAATACACACAGGCAAGAGACCCATTATGAGAAATGGAAATAGAACAAACCCAAACAACAACAATGCATAGAAATGTAACAAAAATAACATCAAGTCTAAAGGAAAAAACCCAAACAGATTAGAAATCTTTGGAAATAAAAATAGTGTCACTGAAATACAGACAATCAGGGGGATGTATTCTGCCCGTGGACGTGGTGAAAAGGCAAGTCAATTAAAAGGCAGCACTTAAGAACTACCTGGACTATAATACTGTTGTTGCTGTGAAGTGCCACCAAGTCGGTTCTGACCCGTGGTTACCCTGTATAGGTTAGGATTTCCGTGGAGTGGCTGGTGAGCTTGAACCACTGACCGTGTGGTTCAAATGACTTTGACTTTGCACATTTTAAACCACAGTGCTACACAGGAACCAAAAAATGATAAAAAGTAAGAAAGCAGTCAGGAGACAAAAATTGAAGTGGCAATGTCTGTTTAATGGCATTATCAAGGAAAGGGATTGCAGGGAATGGTGGAGAAGCACTACATGAAGAGATACTTATTAAGAATTTTCTACAATTGAAGACATACACACACACACACACACACACACACACACACCCCTTTCCTCAGAATGAAAAAGTTCAGGGCAAGCTTAGATGAACATTTGTCTCTGTGAGTGTACTATAAGGTGGGGCCTGAAAGGAGACTTGTGGTTGGCTACAAATGTTCTATACTTTGACGCAGTAACAACATGCGAATACAGATATGCAAAAATTCACTGAGATATATACTCTATGCAAATTACACCTCAATACAAAATGAACAAAAAAGGAAAGAGTGTTAAACTGCATAAATGCTAAGTCCACATTGTACATACAATGTAGAGAAACCGCAGATCATCAATAAAAGGCACAATCTTGGCCTTCTCTCCCCACTGTGGTGTGAGCTTGTCCACTGATATCAGTGTGCTCTGAAAAGGGAGAATCCTCTGGCAAAAATGTTACTTTGCCTGCTGTGTTCAAGGCTCCCATTCAACCGTATATCATGAATTTTGTTCACACCAACTTGTACAAGAACAAGCAGCGCTGTAGCCAGAATTCCCAGAGTTCAAGGTGGTGGGACTCAACACTCTGGCCAAGGTGGTTTGGAAAGATGTATTGTGGAGGGCGCATGTTTGTACCAATCAAAGCCTGGCGTCTCTGACAAGGTAGAGTAAACACGAGTCAGAAGCTATATGCCATCGAGTCTGCCCTGGCTGCTTCTGCCTTATCAGCCCTGGTCATGTCTAAAGGGCATTGTATTGAGGAAGTTCCTGAACTTTTGGTGGTCGAAGCTAAAGTTACAGCCTACAGGAAGACCAACGAGGCCGTTTTACTGCTTAAAAAACCTAAGGCCTGGAATGATATCAAAAAGGTCTATGCCTCTCAGCGAATGAGAGCTGGTAAGGGCAATACGAGAAATCGCCAGCATATCCCACGCAGGGGACTATGCATTATCTATGACGAGGACAATGGTATCATCAAGGCCTTGAGAAACATCCCAGGAATTACTTACTCTTGCTTAATGTAAGCAAGCTGTAGTATTTTAAACTTTGTTCCTGGTGGACATGTGGGCCATTTCTGCATTTGGACTGAAGGTGTTTTTCCTAAGTTGGATGAGTTGTTATGGCACTTGGCATATAGCTGCTTCCCTCAAGTGTAACCACAACCTTCTCATGCATACGATACTCAATACAGACCTAAGCAGAATCCTGAAAAGCCCTGAGATCCAAAGAGCTCTCTGAGCACCATGCAAGAAGATTCATCGCAGAGACCTGAAGAAGAACCCACTGAAAAACCTGAGAATCACATTGAAGCTGACTCCAAACGCAAACATTATTCTTCACTAGGCCGAGACTCACATACGCAGGGTGGCTAAGGCAGCAGCAGCCCTAGAGGCCAAATCAGATGAGAAGGGGGTTCAGGCAAGAAGGCAGTGGTAGGGAAGAAAGGAGGGAAGCAGGTGGTCCGTGTGAAGAAGCCCCAAAAGCCTGTGGTGGGAAAGAAGGCTGCAGCGAGCAAGAATCCAGCAGCTGAGAAGCAGCAGCCAGCAGAAAGAAACCTGTCACAGAAGAAAAGACGCCTGCTGCAGAAACTCTTTACATTTGTTTAGCTAAAACAAGTCAAATAATTTTGGACAGTGTATTTTGAATAACGACAGACCTGGTCAAAGAAGCAGTAAGAAAAACAAAAACAAACACACACAAAAACTCCACACAATCTTAAAAATCATTAGAGGAAAACACACATGAGTTCAATGGCATGTCAGGCTGAGAGCACACTTCTCAGATGACAGGGAAATACTGTCTTCAGAGAGATGGGAAAATAAGTGTCCACATATAAGCCATCATTTGAGAATGAGAGAATGCATCTTAGACATAAAAAAGCACCACCTACAGACGATCCTTCAAACAGCTACTGCAAGATGTAATTCATCGAGAAGAAAAGCAGACACACAGGAAACACAAGGGAATCAGGAAGAAGATATTTACCAAGGAAATGGATAAAATGTTAATGACTAACAAAAAGAAAGTAATTTTTGAGAGTTAAAAAAGTGTAAAAATAAAAGAAATATGAGATTGTTCCGGTGATGCTAAAGCATGCTAAGAAGGCTGACATAGTTAGGAGGAAAAAACTAAGTAACTCAAAACTTTACTGATAAAGTTTCATGAAATGTACATCCTAGAGGCTCAGAGGTAAACAGAAGAGAAATAGAATCTACAGTATTCAAAAGAGCAGAGGAAAACCAGAAACTAATTAAAAGGGTACAAATGAAGGCAAGCACACGTAACGAAAAAAGCAAAGGAAAAAATGGGCAAACAACAACAACAAAATCAAAATGGTAAAAACGTCAGTAACTGTAGTTAAGTATCTATTTTCAATCACCTATTTATTAAAAATTGTGTGGATCACGACAAGCTATGGACAACATTGCGAAGTATGAGTATTCTGGAACACTTAATTGTGCTCATGAGGAATCTGTACCTGGACCAAGAAGCAGTTGTTCGAACAGAACATGAGAACACTGAATGGTTTAAAATTAAAAAAGCTGTGCGACAAGGTTGTATTCTTTCACCATACTTATTCAACCTGTATGCTGAGCAAATAATACAAGAAGCTGGGTTCTATGAACAAAAACGTGGCAACAGGCCTGGAGGAAGACAATCTGAACTATGCAGATGATACAACCTTGCTTGCTGAAAGTGAAGAGGACTTAAAACATTTACTGATGGAGACCAAAGACCACAGCCTTTGGTACCGATTACATCTCAAATGTCAAGACAACAAAAATCCTCACCACTGGACCAATAAACAACATTCTTATCAATGGAGAAAAGATTGAAGTTGTCAAGGACTTCATTCTTCTTGAACCAACTATCAACACTCACGGACGCAGCAGTCTAGAAATCAAACAACGTATTGCATTAGGCAAATCTGCTGCACAACGCTTTTTTAAAAGTGTTGAAGAGCAAAGATATCAGCTTGAAGACTACGGTGCACCTGACCCAAGCCATGGTATTTTCAATACCCTTATATGCATGCAAAACCTGGACAGTGAATAAGGAAGACTGTTGATAATTTGATGCTTTTGAGTTATGGTGTTAGAGGAGAATATTGAAAGTGCCATGGGCTGCCCAAAGAACCAATAGATCTGTTTTGGAAGAAGTGTAGCCAGAGTGTTCCTTGGAGGCC